TCCATCCTCCGGGTGTCGCGGCTCCTCCCCTCCATCCTCCGGCTGTCGCGGTTCCTCCCCCATCCATCCTCCGGCTGTCGCGGTTCCTCCCCTCCATCCTCCGGGTGTCGCGGCTCCTCCCCTCCATCCTCCGGGTGTCGCGGCTCCTCCCCTCCATCCTCTGGGTGTCGCGGCTCCTCTGGGTGTCGCGGCTCCTCCCCTCCATCCTCCGGGTGTCGCGGCTCCTCCCCTCCATCCTCCGGGTGTCGCGGCTCCTCCCCTCCATCCTCCGGGTGTCGCGGCTCCTCCCCCTCCATCCTCTGGGTGTCGCGGCTCCTCCTCTGGGTGTCGCGGCTCCTCCCCTCCATCCTCCGGGTGTCGCGGCTCCTCCTCTGGGTGTCGTGGCTCCTCCCCTCCATCCTCCGGGTGTCGTGGCTCCGCCCCTCCATCCTCCAGGGGGTCGCGGCTCCTCCCCTCCATCCTCCAGGGGGTCGCGGCTCCTCCCCTCCATCCTCCGAGTTTCGCGGCTCCTCCCCTCCATCCTCCGGGTGTCCCGTCTCCTCCTCCGGGTGTCGCGTTTCCTCCCCTCCATCCTCTGGGTGTCCCGACTCCTCCCCTCCAGCCTCTGGGTGTCCCGACTCCTCCCCTCCAGCCTCTGGGTGTCCCTGGTCCTCCTCTGGACTGAATCAGCTTCCTCCGATGTCACTGCACACTGTGCATTAGAAACTTCAGCAAGTCACATAAAGCTCCGCCTCATTTCCTTGCTGGAGGATGCCCAGCATCATCTAGCCCTTTTCTTCCCCAGCCTGACTGTCCCTGGCTCCGCCCCTTTCATCAGAGCTGGGACAAGGAGGGGGCAGAAGGGACACATGCTCCAGACTCAGTGCCCCAAACTGGCTGTCCCTGACTCCGCCCCTTTCATCAGACCTGGGACAAGGGGGGGATAGAAGGGGCACGTGCCCCAAACTGACAGTCCCTGACTCCGCCCCTTTTCATCAGAGCTGGGTCAAGGGCGGGGGTGGGATAGAAGGGGCACATGCTCCAGACTTGGTGCAGCAGACTGACTGTCCTTGACTCCGCCCCTTTTTATTCATTACATTTCAGTTCCTTCAATCACGGAGGCTCAGCATCACATGTGGGTTTAACCTATGCAAATACATCCTGCCTAGGACCACCCACTCCTCCAGATTGACCGCCCACAAAAAACCATCAAGTCATGTTGCTATTTGCATAACTCCTCCCGCAGTGCTTCTATCAGAGCTGAGGCTCTTGATAGGAGGACTGAGGCGGGTGTTGTGATGTTTTCGGAAGCCCCTCCCACCAGCCATGATATGCCTGCATTACATAGAGAAGTACAGAGACTTAATGATGACATCACTGGGTGCAAAATAAATGTTAAGGTGGGGGGGGGGGGCAGATGAGACTTCAGGTTACAGCACCGACCGATTACAATGTTTTTTCTTTGCGGGATGCTGATGTCATCGGTGGCGCGACTCTGTCCTCTCTCTCCGCAGACCGCCAGGACGACGGATCTACTGGCAGATTAACACGAACGTTTGGCCACCAGCATTTCCGGGACCAGGCCATCATCAGTCGCCGTCTCCAACAAGAGGATCAGGTTCGATCCCCCGCACCCATCGTCTATAGATCGACCAAACTATGCAAAGTAAGAGCTTGACTGTGTGCTTGTTTAAGCCCTCACCCCCAGAGGATTCCCCCTCACCCTCCAGAGGACAACCGCCCCCTCCCAACCCTCCAAGGGACAACCCACCCCTCACCCTCCAGATTCCCCCTCACCCTCCAGAGGACAGAGCCCCCCCTCAACCCTCCAGATGGATTTCCCCTCCCCCTCACCCTCCAGAGGACTCCCCCCCCCCCCCCACAACCCTCCCCCCCGCACCCTCCAGAGGACCAACCCTCCAGAGGATTCCCCCCCCCTCACACCTCCAGAGGACAACCCCCCCCCCCCCCAGACCCTCCAGAGGATTCCCCCACCACCCTCCAGAGGAACTCCCCCCCCCACCCCCCCCTCACACCCTCCAGAGGATTCCCCCCACCCGTCTCACCCTCCAGAGGACCTCCTAGAGAACCCCCCCCCCCATCCCCTCCAAGAGGAGATTCCCCCCCCCCCTCCACCTCCTCCAGGATAACTCCCCCCCCCCCAGGCCCTCCAGAGGATTCCCCCCCCCGGCCCACGGCCCTCCAGAGGATTCCCCCCCCCGCCCTCCAGAAGGATTCCCCCCTCACCCTCCAGAGGATTCCCCCTCCTCACCCCTCCAGAGGAATTCCCCCCCCCCTCACCCTCCAGAGTTGATACCCCCCCCCCCTTCATCCGCCCCTTCAGAGGATTCCACCCCCCCCCCTCTCCCCTCCAGCACCCTCCTCGCCCTCCAAGGATTCCCCCCCCCCCCCCCTCGCCCCCCCCCCCCTCCAAAGTGGGATTCCCCCCCCCTCACCCTCCAGAGTGATTACCCTCCCCCACTCGCCCTCCCAAGGATTCCCCCCCCCTCGCACCCTCCAGAGGATTCCCCCCCCCCCTCGCCCTCCAGAGGATTCCCCCCCTTCGCCCTCCAGAGGATTCCCCCCCCCTCGCCCTCCAATGGATTCCCCCCCCCTCACCCTCCAGAGGATTCCCCCCCCCCCTCACCCTCCAGAGGATTCCTCCCCCCCCCCCTCGCCCTCCAGAGATTCCCCCCCCCTCGCCCTCCAGAGGATTCCCCCCCCCCTCCCCCCTCCCCAGAGCCCTCCAGAGGATTCCCCCCCCCCCCCCCGCCCCTCCAGAGGATTCCCCCCTCCCTCCAGTGGATTCCCCCCCTCCTGCGCCCTCCAGAGGATTCCTCCCCCCCCCCTCCAGCCCTCCAGAGGATTCCTCCCCCCCTCCTCGCCCTCCAGAGGATTCCTCCCCCCCTCGCCCTCCAGAGGATTCCTCCCCTCCTCGCCCTCCAGAGGATTCCTACCCTCCTCGCCCTCCAAGAGGATTCCTCCCCCTCCTCGCCCTCCAGAGGATTCCTCCCCTCCCGCCCCTCTCCCAGAGATGAATTCCTCCCCCCTCGCCCTCCAGAGGGATTCTCCCCTCCTCGCCCTCCAGAGGATTCCCCCCCCTCGCCCCTCCAGAGGATTCCCCCACCTCCCGCCCTCCAGAGGATGCCTCCCCTCCCCCTCCTCCCCCCCCCCAACCCTCCAGAGGATTCCTCCCCCCTCGGGATTCCCCCCCCCCCGCCCTCCAGAGGATTCCCCCCTCCTCGCCCTCCAGAGGAATTCCGCCCCTCCTCCAACAGTCCAAGGATTCCCCCCCCCCCCCCCTCCAGAGGATTCCCCCCCCCTCGATTCCCTCCAGAGGATTCCTCCCCTCCTCGCCCTCCAGAGGATTCCCCCCACCTCCCCCCCCTGATGAATTCCCCCCCCCTCCGCCCTCTTGAGGATTCCCCCCCCCTCGCCCTCTTGAGGATTCCTCCCCCTCCCCTCGCCCTCTTGAGGATTCCTCCCCCCCCTCCCCCCCCCCCTCGCCCTCCAATGAGGATTCCTCCCCCCCTCGCCCCCCTCCAGAGGATTCCTCCCCCCCCTCGCCCCCCCCCAGAGGATTCCTCCCCCCCCTCGCCCCCCTCCCAGAGGATTCCTCCCCCCCCTCGACCGTCGCCCCCCTCCAGAGGATTCCTCCCCCCCTCCAGCCCGAGGATTCCCCCTCGCCCTCCAGAGGATTTCCCCCCCCCCCCCTCGCCGCCCTCCAGAGGATCCCCCCCTCCCCCACCAGAGGATTACCCCCTCTTGAGGATTCCTTCCCCCCTCGTCCTCTTGAGGATTCCTCCCCTCCTCGTCCTCTTGAGGATTCCTCCCCCCCTCGTCCTCTTGAGGATTCCTCCCCCCCTCGCCCCCCCTCCAGAGGATTCCTCCCCCCCAGAGATCGCCCCCCTCCAGAGGATTCCCCCTCCCCCCCTCGCCCCCCTCCAGAGGATTCCTCCCCCCCTCGCCCTCCAGAGGATTCCTCCCCCCCCCCTTCCCCCTCCAGAGGATCCCCCCCTCCCCCACCAGAGGATTACCCCCTCTTGAGGATTCCTTCCCCCCTCGTCCTCTTGAGGATTCCTCCCCCCCCTCGCCCTCCAGAGGATTACCCCCTCCCACCCTCGCCCTCCAGAGGATTCCTCCCCCCCCCCTCGCCCTCCAGAGGATTCCTCCCCCCCCCCCCTCGCCCTCCAGAGGATTCCTCCCCTCACCCTGCAGAGGATTCTCCCCCTCCCTCCAGAGGATTACCCCCTCCCACCCTCGCCCTACAGAGGATTCCTCCCCCCCCCCCCCTCCTCTCCATCGCCCTCCAGAGGATTCCCCCCTCACCCTGCAGAGGATTCTCCCCCTCCCTCCAGAGGATTCCCCCCTCCCCCCCCCGCCCTCCAGAGGATTCCCCCATCCCCCCCCCTCGCCCTCCAGAGGATTTCTCCCCCCCTCCCACCCTCGCCCTCCAGAGGATTTCTCCCCCCTCCCACCCTCGCCCTCCAGAGGATTTCTCCCCCCTCCCACCCTCGCCCTCCAGAGGATTTCTCCCCCCTCCCACCCTCGCCCTCCAGAGGATTTTTTCCCCCCCCCCCCCTCCCTCTCGCCCTCCAGAGGATTCCCCCCTCCCACCCTCGCCCTCCAGAGGATTCCCCCCTCTCCCTCCAGAGGTTTACCCCCCCCCCCCTCGCCTTTCAGAGGATTCCCCCCTCACCCTCCAGAGGATTCCCCCCTCCCCTTCCTGACCAGGCCATTTTTTTGTGATACGGCGCTGCGTTACTTTAACACAATTGCGCGGTCATGCAACACTGCACCCCAAATTTAAATCTATGTCCCTTTTCCCCACAAATAGAGCTTTCTTTCGGTGGTAGTTGATCGCCTGCGCAGTTTTTTTATTTTTTTGCGCCACAAACAAAAAACCGCCAATTATGAAAATGAAAAAAAACAAACAATATTTTGACTTTTTGCTGTAAAACATGTCCAGTATAAAAATGTCCGAAAACTAATTTATTCATAAATTTAGGCCAAATTGTTTTTATATATACTAGTCGTGGTGGTGATTAGTGACTTATAGTGGGACTGTGGGGGGCATTCTGACACTGAGGGGGGGCTGACTTGGTGTCACTGACATCCCCAGTGACACCAATACAGTGATCGGTGCTAATAACTGACACTGTACTAATGGCGCTGGGCAGGAAGGGGTTAACATGTGGGGCGATCAAAGGGTTAACTGTGTGCTGTGTTACTAGAGAGACATGCTGCTGTGCAGAGAGATACAAAGCAGCATGTCCTTGCTGACAGGAGAGAGACCAGGGTTGCTTACATACAGACCCCTCCCCCATCAGTGATACTGAAAGTCCTCTCTTCCATTGCAGACCAGCAGCGAGATCGTGCGGACGATGCTGAGGATGAGCGAAATTACCACCTCGTCCAACGCGGCACACACACAGCCACTCTCCTCCAATGAGGTAACACCACGCCTCCAGGATATCTCATCACGGTCTCATGCACGGGTCGAATTCCGAATGATTTTTTGTTTGGATGACAACGCTCTGTGTCCTTGTCTCCCAATCGTTCTACGTTGTCACCTTGCCTTGGGGGTGTGCCCCAACAGGAAGTCACCTGTGTACAGGAAACTATATCCCCCTCCTATATTACTTCCGTTTCTAATTGTCCTCACTCCAATTGGAGAGGTGACATGCGGCAGTGTGTGATGCGTAGGAAGGCGCAAAAAAAGTACGCGTGCTCCTGGCGCACCTCCTGTACAGCTGAGCGCAAACATCGTTTTGTTTGTTTCCCCCCCCAGATCTTCAGAGCCTTCCCACAAGGATACAACATCTCCAAGCAGGTTCTGGACCAGTACTTGTCACTGCTGGCAGATGACCCGGTAAGCAGAGAGGATTCTGGGGAGGAATTCTATGTAATGGGGGGGGGGGGGGGCATTCCTAGGTAGCGGCATCCTCCATGTTTGTGTTGGAATCCTGTCTTCTTCTCATTGCAGCTGGAGTTTGTCGGGAGGTCCGGGGACAGCGGAGGAGGGGGATGTTTGTCATCAGTATCCTTCATAGTCTGCCTTCTGTGTGTGTATATATATATATATATACTGTGTGGGCGGGGCTCGGCTCGGCTCGGATGGTTTGTAACTTAACTTTCCGCTCTCAGATCTACACAAAGCTGTAGCAACACTCGCCACGGCCAACCTGGAGTCCATTGTGCAGGAGAGGTGAGGGGCCCCCAGGAGAACGCAGTCCGGATATCTCCGCTCTCTTCCTTCTTTACTTTATCTTTCTTTTTTTTGCTCTCTCTCCCCCCTTCCTCTATCTTTTTCAATCCCCTCCCCCTCTCTCTCGATCTCCCTCTCGATCTCCCTCCCCCCCTCTCTCTCCTCCTCCCCCCCTTCCTCTCCTCCCCTCGCTCTCTCCTCCCCTCGCTCTCTCCTCCCCTCTCGCTCTCTCCTCCCCCCGCTCTCCCCCTCTCTCTCTCTCCTCTTCCCCCCCCCCACCTCTCTCTCTCGATCTCCCACTCCCCCTCTCTCGACCCCCCCTCTCTCCCCCTCCTCCCTCCCCCCCCCTCTCTCTCCTCCCTCCCCCCTCTCTCTCTCCTGATTTCTCTCCCAATCTCCCTCTCCCCCCTCTCTCTCAATCTCCTCCTCTTTCCCCCTCTCTCTCTCTCTCTCTCTCTCGATCCCCCCCTTTCTCTCCCCCCCCCCTCTCTCTCACCCCTCTCTCGATCTCCCCCTCTCTCTCTCCATCTTGCTCTCTCCCCCCCCCCCTCTCTCTTCCCCTCTCCTCCGCTCTCTCCCCCTCTCCTCCGCTCCCTCTCCCCCTCTCCTCCGCTCTCTCCCCCTCTCCTTCGCTCTCTCCCCCCCCTCTCCTTCGCTCTCTCCCCCTCTCCTTCACTCTCTCCCCCCTCTCTCCCCCTTCTCTCCCCCCTCTCTCTCTCCCTCTATCTCCCTTGCTCGCTCTCTCTCTCCCCTCTCTCCCTTGCCCCCCCCTCTCTCTTCCCTCTCTCTCTCACTCTCCCCCTCTCCTTCGCTCTCTCCCCCTCTCTCTCTACCCTCTCTCTCTCCCCCCCCCTCTCTCTACCTCTCTCTCTCCCTTGCTCTCTCTCTCCCCCTCTCTCTCCCCTCTCTCTCACTGTCCCCCTCTCCTTCGCTCTCTCCCCCTCTCCTTCGCTCTCTCCCCCCTCCTCTCTCCCCCCTCCTCTCTCCCCTCTCTCTCTCCCTCTATCTCCCCTTGCTCTCTCTACCTCTCTCTCTCCCTTGCGCTCTCTCTACCTCTCTCTCTCCCTTGCTCTCTCTCTCCCCCTCTCCCTCCTCTCTTCCTTGCCCCCCCCCCTCTCTCTCTCCTTTTTTCTTTTCTTTCTCCCCCTCCCACCAGCCATCATCTGCCTGCAGTGCATAGAGAAGCACTGGGTCACAACAAATTCCGAAAGTGGAAGTTTTTATTTAAGACGCCATGAGCATGCTGATGCTTTAATCCCCATTCAGTCTTTCGCTGTGCAGTAGGGAGTTTCCGCCAGTCTCCTCCTGTTCAGTCTTTCGCTGTGCAGTTGGGATTTTCCGCCGGTCTCCTCCTGTTCGGTTGGTTTGATCTCCTCCTCTGTTGCTTGCCCTGTCAGGTTCGGGTCGCGCTGTGCCCGGATATTCCGTCTCCTGCTGAGGAAGAGGCACCTGGAGCAGAAACAGGTGGAGGATTACGCCATGATCCCGGCCAAGGAAGCCAAGGATATGCTGTACAAGATGTTGTCAGTGAACCTGATCAGCCTGCAGGTCAGTGCTTTGTCCTCTCTGGCCCCCCACTGACCACCAATGTAAAAGGGGGTGTTACTGGGGCCCCCACTGACCACCAATGTAAAAGGGGGTGTTACTGGGCCCCCCACTGACCACCAATGTAAAAGGGGGTGTTACTGGGGCCCCCACTGACCACCAATGTAAAAGGGGGTGTTACTGGGGCCCCCACTGACCACCAATGTAAAAGGGGGTGTTACTGGGGCTCCCCACTGACCACCAGTGTAAGAGGGAATGTTACCGGGGCCCCCACTGACCACCAGTGTAAGAGGGGATGTTACTGGGGCCCCCACTGACCACCAGTGTAAGAGGGGATGTTACTGGGGCCCCCACTGACCACCAGTGTAAAAGGGGATGTTACCGGGGCCCCCCACTGACCACCAATGTAAGAGGGGATGTTACTGGGGCCCCCCTACTGACCACCAGTGTAAGAGGGGATGTTACTGGGGCTCCCACTGACCACCAATGTAAGAGGGGGTGTTACTGGGGCCCCCCACTGACCACCAATGTAAGAGGGGATGTTACCGGGGCCCCCTACTGACCACCAATGTAAGAGGGGATGTTACTGGGGCCCCCCCTCACTGACCACCAATGTAAGAGGGGATGTTACTGGGGCCCCCCACTGACCACCAATGTAAGAGGGGATGACCACCAATGTAAGAGGGGATGGGCCCCCACTGACCACCAATGTAAGAGGGGATGTTACTGGGGCCCCCCACTGACCACCAATGTAAGAGGGGATGTTACTGGGCCCCCACTGACCACCAATGTAAGAGGGGATGTTACTGGGCCCCCCACTGACCACCAATGTAAGAGGGGATGTTACTGGGGCCCCCACTGACCACCAATGTAAGAGGGGATGTTACTAGGGCCCCCCACTGACCACCAATGTAAGAGGGGATGTTACTGGGGCCCCCACTGACCACCAATGTGAGAGGGGATGTTACTGGGGCCCCCACTGACCACCAATGTAAGAGGGGATGTTACTGGGGCCCCCACTGACCACCAATGTAAGAGGGGATGTTACTGGGGCCCCCCACTGACCACCAATGTAAGAGGGGATGTTACTGGGGCCCCCACTGACCACCAATGTAAGAGGGGATGTTACTGGGGCCCCCCACTGACCACCAATGTAAGAGGGGATGTTACTGGGGCCCCCCACTGACCACCAATGTAAAAGGGGATGTTACTGGGGCCCCCACTGACCACCAATGTAAGAGGGGATGTGTTACTGGGGCCCCCCACTGACCACCAATGTGAGAGGGGATGTTACTGGGGCCCCCACTGACCACCAATGTAAGAGGGGATGTTACTGGGCCCCCCACTGACCACCAATGTGAGAGGGGATGTTACTGGGGCCCCCCACTGACCACCAATGTGAGAGGGGATGTTACTGGGGCCCCCCACTGACCACCAATGTAAGAGGGGATGTTACTAGGGCCCCCCACTGACCACCAATGTAAGAGGGGATTTTACTGGGGCCCCCCACTGACCACCAATGTAAAAGGGGATGTTACTGGGGCCCCACTGAGCACCAATGTAAGAGGGGATGTTACTGGGGTCCCCACTGACCACCTATAAAAGAATAGCATTTTGGGAAGGGGGAGGGGCACATTGACAACCAATGCCTGATTTTTCCCATCATCACAGACCACACCCACTATCATTTGATCTCACTAATTCTCTTTTGTTTCCATTGTTCAGGAAATCCCCAAAACTCCGGACCACGCGCCTTCCAGAACATTCTACCTGTACACGGTGAAGCCATTACCCACGGCGCGCATGCTACTACTACCGGTGCTACAAGGTACCCGAGCCACCAGCATCCTCTACTCTTCCCAATGGCTTGATCGATGAAGGGCAAGCGACCCTCTTGTGTGCCCTTCAGAGGGGGGGTATAATGTACATAACACGCATCACATATGTTACATGTACATGTAATCCAATGGGAAGATTGTTGTTGAAATTAATGGTCTGGTAATGGTGTCTGCGTTGTACTGCGTTACCATACTTCCCTTTTACGCTTTACCCATAAATAAAAAATAGGGCAGTTAAAAAAAAAAATAAAAATGGGAAATGGGGCAGTTAATAAAAAAAAAAAAAAAAAAAAATGGGGCTGGGGCAGTTAATAAAAAAAAATAATGAGGCAGTTAATAAAAAATGGGGCAGTTAATAAAAAAAAAGTTAATAAATAAAAAATGGGGCAGTTAATAATTAAAAAAAAAAATGGGGCAATTAAAAAAAAATAATAGGGCAGTTATTAAAAAAAATAGTTAATACAAATAAAAAAAATAGTGGGGCAGTTAATAAAAAAAATTAAAAATGGGGCAGTTAATAAAAAAAAAATGGGGCAGTTGATAAAAAAAAAAAATAAATGGGGCAGTTAATAAAAAAAAATAATAATGGGGCAGTTAATAAAAAAAAAATAAAAAATGGGGCAGTTAATAAAAAAAAAAAAAAAAATGGGGC